GTTGAAAGTTGAAAGGTGAGGAGTATAAAATATAAGCTACAAAAGTAATGCCATGGCACACAAATAGATAAAAATACCAAAATACAAGGGGAGATACAAAATGCGCACACACAAATTTCAAAACACAATTCCTTATCTTAAAGTGAAAGGAAGAGGAAGGAAGAAAAGGTAGAAGAGGAAAAACATATCCAAGGAGGGGAGAGCAACTGCAGGCAAAAGGAAAAGGGACTTTCTGCTACATCCCAACATAACATTAACAAAAATAACTGCGCCTTCACATGCTATTTTGGACTACCTTTAGAAACTTAGTATCAAGCATGGTGTTAAATTTTCGTTTTTACCTATAGGGCAAAACACTTATGTCTATTAAAAAGGAGCTACCTACACCAATACTGGACCTATCCTATACAAAGTGGATAAAAATCAATTATTTTTAAAAAGTAATTAAAATGATCTTTTTTTATTTAAACCAGATTTTAAAAATTGTATTTTATTAAAATTCTTTAAAAATAAACCTATATATAGTTTTAATTTACGAGATGTTAAAGCTCAAAGATATCATCATTAATAGTACATAATTAGAAGTTATAATTCCTATTTGAGACAATATATTAACGTAACTTTTTTATTAAAATGCTATAAATACCTTACAACAGGCTATGGACTATGTTAGGGGCCCAATCTTATGGGGCTCCCAGAGGCTCCTCTATAGATTAGTAAAGATTAAAGAAAACTACTCTACCCAATGGGACTCCATGCTCAGTCTAGAGGTCCCATTAAGCATCTTTGTGACGCTTAGTTTCGGTTCTCAGACTGTGGACTTATGTCTCCAGAGATAACACCCTTGTTAACAGCAGTTTATGGAAATGAGAGATAACAGACTTGATTACCTGCCCATCAGCCCTCTTGTCTGTTTGCAAGTTTATGTACTGAGTCAAGCCCTTACCTCTCTCTAAAACCACAAAGTTTCATGAACTTAAATGAATAGAGGATTGTTGGGGGTGGAGTAGATCTGGGCAAAGAGGAGGAGCCTGGAGATAAATGCAAGGGGAGAGGGGCAGTAGAAACAAAAGAGAAACATTTTGAGCAGAATTTTGTTGAAATTGCAAAATACTTCTGCAACAACAACTTTGCAGCAGTTGCTTTGAAGAAAGCAGGAGGAACAGAACTAACTCTCCCACAAGACTGCAATGGAACTCAGTAGTGGCCTGTTTTAAGGAATATATTGAGAACTGGCCTAATCTGATGACAAATTGTGAAGACAATCATGATAAAAGAGATAGAATTGTCATAGCCAAAGTTCTCCACGTTGGGGCAAAGAGAAATGTAGAATGTATGCTGACTATCCTGAAGCCTATTTCCATAGCCTTGAACAAAGGTTATATCAAACAACAATAATGCAGTTTTTATAGAAAACAATGATTAAATATAGGCTTCCTGACCAGTGATTGAAATCATTATTTAAATCAAATCCACCCTGACTCCACATACGTCATCTCAAGGTTGTAACCCCTTTTTGCCCTTGTCAAGAGAACTCCTTCCAAGACAATTTCACTAAGTAGTTGTCTACATATGAAAGTTGGTCATAGAACACTGTTCTGAAAAAAGAAGCATGTGAATTTCAAATTAAAAGACTATTCAAATTTAGTTAAGAATATCTAGATATTCTCTACAATATCTAGAAGAGTATCTGTATGAACACTCTTAATCCAGAATAAGATGACCACTGACACATCAAGTAAAACTATTTGAGAAGTTATTCAGGGAAGCTACTGTTCCTGAATAACTCCACATGCAGACAAACCTTAGCCCTGGACACTACTGTCATGTATGCTGCCAGGCTGTTAACAATCACCATTTTATGTTGCTTTATACATTTGTTATATAACCTACAAAATTGTACATTGAAATAAGACATACTTAGTTGGTCACTGTTCTAAATTACTGCTTAGTAAAAACACTTAATTGAAAACACCTGGTGTTCACACTTTCAACTTTACAACGCTTGATCTGATGCAACACCACGTCAGTGAACAAGTTCTCTGTCACTCATTTCCCTGGAGAACATCTGTCCAAATTTCGCTGGACACTTTCTTTAAGAAAGCAAACAAGACTCCAGAAAAACCTGCAGCCAAGACTCCTGAGTAGACTCCAGCCAAAAACACTTCAAAAAGTCCAACCAAGAACCTTTTAAGAAGTCCAGCAAAGTCACCTCAAATAAATCCTTCCAAATCAAATTGATTGCTATTTACAATGTAAATACATTAATGTAGCTATGTTACTCATCTATAATTGATCAAGTACAAAATTCTGGGGTCTTTTTAGTGAAAACAGGATATCGGGTCTTGGTTCAGGAACCAATTCCCCATTTATAACATAGTTTCTTATAAGAAAATAGGTTCCGAGTTACGTTTCAACTTAAGATGCAGTTTTCAGGAACCAATTGTGTTGCAAGTCCGAGGACTGCCTGTATGTGAAACAACCCAATGGCACATTCTTGGTCATTTCTTATATTTACTTATTGTAGGTTTTTCAGGCTATGAATGGAACACTCGATCCTTTAGGCTGACGTGTAACACATGCTAGAAAGTTTCATCCAGCTACTCCTATACTCAGCCTAATAACTCACGATTAATGAAAGCGCTTCTATCCAGGTGTCCAGTCTTGATTTGAGAACATCAAGAGACTGGGAATCCATCTGATGGTAGTTAACTTAGCTGTCTCTCATACCAACCGTTCTCTGTGATTTCTGAAAGGTGGCATGTACCTTAACTTTAGTATTCCTTTGTTTACAAAGGTTTTAGTTTAGTCACTCTCCATATTCCAAGAGGGTCAGGAGGCACCACTAGACAACCTTAACTCAACATTAACAAAATGCTGAAGCAATTTACTAAAACATGAAGACCATCACATTGCCATCTTACAAATGTCTTATGTTGACACCTCATCTCTCCCTACCTCTCAAAAAATTCCAGACATTTGTGAGCTTTATGTACATCAGAAAATTATTGTCTGACCCACTAGTGATTTTTGTAAACCATTTCCATGTTAGCAGACTTCAAAGCACTTGAACTGTTGAGTTTCTTCAACTCCTATAAATGATAATCCAAACTTCAAAAACACATTTAGTATTTGCTCAAATTAAAATTTATTTTTTGTGGGCAAATGTGGGAATAGGGCAGGAAATACGATCACTGGATTAATTACTGCGCGTCTCTGTTCACCCTTACAATAGAGGCCAGCATGAGGAAAAAGACTGTTTATAAAAGCTAGTAGGAATAGGTACTTAATGAATAGAGACTTCAGTTCCCAGATACAATTACAATTGCTACAGCTTGAATGAAGTTCCTACTAGTTCCAAGGGAGACTCCTTTAGCAGGGCAATATCAGGGAAAGATCCAGGGAAGGTTTGGGAAAAGGTAAGGGTCTCCAGCATTAAAAGTGAACCCTCAGTGTACACCTGTAATCTAATATCCTTGATTTGGATAACATGTAAGAACTGATGACTGAACCCAGGGGCACAGATTTTATATCCTTTAAAACTTGCAAGGAGGAAGAGATTTAAATTGCTCAGGAACAGGAATTTCTTTCAATACTCAATTAGGGCTAACATCATCAAAATACATGAAGTGCAGCTGCAACTCCCTAGGCTTTAGTAGAAATCACATGATTAAAAGAGAAAAGAAACTTTGCTGTTCTATCAGCACAATTTGGAATTAACTAAAGAGGATTCAGCCAGAAGGTCCTGATGATAGGAGAATTTCCTAATATACTACGTATCGTAAGCCAGGCACATTTGGTGTCCACAGGCTCAGTAATGAGAATTCTCTTATTCCACTTTCCACTAGCTATTCTGAGTAGGGGAAACAGTAGTCTATTTGCTATAAATGCAAAGGTCATGGCTACAGGTTGAGAGAGATAAACATAATACTCTCTAGTGAAAGGAGGGTCTGTGAAAGTTAGGACTTCAGCACACTAGCAGTCAGTCTGACAGCTGAGTTAGTTCAAAAGGAAACTGCTCTTCTTGGAGGTATACTGCTCAGAAGTACAAGAGTAATTCCCCAGGTTTCTGACTAGAGAGGAACCAGCTCTCAGTGGTTGTACACAGTAAGACCAACTATAATAATGGATTTGAATATACTTGTGAAACACAAGGGAGCTTCCAGATTTAAGAGGAACATCTCCCAAATTTTAAACAAGCTGATGCTCAAAGTTATTACTGATTACAGGTAAATCACTCTCCAGGATGAGAGATGGGCACAGATAAGCATCCCAGTTCAAGAGCCTTACCTTTTTAACAAGGGCAACTGACCAAGCTGAGCACAGAAAGAAGGGACTCAAGATGCATGGTATGCAACACAAACAGGCAAAGAACAGATGCACCAATAAGAAAAAAAGGGAAGGATTTTCTCAGCTAGAAGAATAGAATTCCACCAAGCCTGCACCACGCCAGTGGAGGCAGAACTATGGTAGTGAGTCGCAACAAATACTTTAGCTCTAAAGTAATCCAGTGTGAATTACTTTAGCTAAAGGTACTTAACTGTAATAAGGGTAAGTGACAGAACCTGGAAGAATGTGTAGCTACGTGTTTAAGAACCTCAAAAAGACAGACTTTGAACTTCTCCCAGTTGATCAAGAAACTGCCAAAAGATAGATATCCCATGACTTTATGATACAATAAATCCAGAAATAGCACTGAAGGTGCCAAAATGAGTAGGTCTGAGACAAAGATTAAACTGTACTTTCTCCTAACAGACTGGGCTTTACGATATTAGTGAAAAAAAAAAAAATCACAGGTGGAAACCAGAAAACAAAAGAAACAACAAGGACCAGATGTGCAGTCCTCAACGGGATGCAGAGGAAAATCCAATGACTTGGATGACTATGAATGCATAGAAATGGTACCTATTTTTGATGAATTTCTGGATGCTTTGAGCTGTGAAAGAAAAGCAGATAGCTGCGTAAACAGTTTCACGACCACAGAAATTAATGGCTATAAATTTTAAATAAGCTGGCTTTTATTTAAATACAAAAATATATACATTTTGTTTATAAATACATTCATTACAGTTTTATACAATTATTTCTGCCTTAATTCTCTTTTAAATTACACATTACAATATTCTCTATCACCATCATACTAGCATTTTATCCAAAATGAAACATTATATTTGAATGATTTCTAATAACGTGCCCTTTACAGATGCATATAAATGTTGTTTTAACACTGTAAAAAGTGTGACAATTATTTATTTATTTATTTGTTTAGAGTACAGAACGATATTTACAAGCAAACATGATCCAAACAGCACACGCAGATTCAGGATATGCAAACACTCGCACACGAACTGCAAGTCGGACTTGGTCTCCCCTACAACAGATTATTTCTTCACAGAAAGGGGACCTGTTTGATAAAAATAAAATGTGAATAACCATGAGGTTTGAATGTTAGCTTTAAGTTAGCAAATTGTTATTAAAATCTTTAGTAAAAAAAAATATGTAAATATTAATCATGATTGATGCAACATACATTTTTCAATCAAGTTAATGCATTAGGAGGTCTGACTTTTTGGACACTACTACTGAGCAACAGCACTGTTTTTGAGCTTAAAAGTCACTATTTGAAGTGAAATGAAGACTACTGCTGGACAGTGCATCATGCCACTTAACAGCCTTCCACACCCCCAACAAGATGCAGTGTTATGTATTGCTGACTTGAAACCAATTTTCAACCGGACAAGTGCTCATCCTCCAACACCAATTCAAATATAAACGTTTTAGTAACACATCATTAACTACATTACTTCTTCTCCAAGACTGCCAACTGCTACTTACTGTAGCAATAGCAACATTAGCAATTGGTACTTAACAAAATACTGCTACTTATATTTATAAAGCAATCCCCCTTCCAAAAGTGCATAAGAGGCAACAATCACAAAATAAGGACTCCAGGCAAAAAAAAAAGGAGGTAAACAAAATGCTCAACTGCTATAGTTAGGAAACCCCTCTGAAAACCCACGTGTTTTTAAAAGAGAGAGATTAAATAAGATGATTTTGGGAGAAGCCAGTTCTAACACCACCTACTGCAGATTTCACCCAGACTAACTAATCACTACTAACCTAGTTTAGCGATTTAGAAGTGAAAAACTCCATAACCCCATTACAAATTACCTATGCCAGTCAGTACTACTGCTAATTCACATACAATCCAATCCACATGTACAAGAAATAAATACAAAAAGTGTAAAGTTATTTTGTAATTTGTTAAATTTATATCTTAACCTTACCGAAGGCATGTAGCAAATGCTCTCCTGGCGTTTCTGTACACAAAATGGATAGGGAACCCTTTAAATGTGTGACCATCAGGGACTGCTCTTCTTATAGCATCTTGAAACTCTTCATTTCCTGCAGAGATGCTTGTTGTACGTTCTAGTTCATAGGCTGCCAAAGCTGGTGACAAGAGATAGGATAGCTGGTCATCCCAAACTGTAGTAAGGCCAAGGTCCTATAAAATGGGATGCAAGATGAAGGTAATGATCAATTCACATGAAAAGATGCTTTGTATTCTTCAGTGGGGTTGTTCCTAGTAACCAAAAAATTAAATTGTGATTGAAGTCATTACATTAATTAATGCAAACTAACTAATACAGTTTAATCTGAAGGATTTACTGTCCTGAGCTTGTGTTGCATTGGTGTTTTCCACATGTATAAACAACTATAGATCAGTATAAGATGAAGTATGAAAGCACATACTTGTAGCTAACTCTTTTTGATGAACATGTCGTGTCAGCATATAACTGAATAGTTCATCAAAATTAAGATAGTCAATAGAAGAGATGAAAGGAATTAAAAGCAGCAGTTGCTTTTACAGGATCAGCCCTCAGAAATGGAGAAGCAAGTGGCATGTATTAAAAACTTTTAGAAAAATCTCACTCTCAGGAACCAGATCAGAGAGATAGAGAATACTTTCAGAATTTGGAAATTAAGCATTTTAGGAATTTCTGAAATACAAGATCAGAGCAACATCCATCTTTATTCCTAACCACGTATCTCTGATGCCAAATCAGAAGATTCAGTATGAACTGCAAACTCTTGGTACAGTTCATCAACACCCTGATTAGTTTGCTTATAAGCACTCTATAATCCTGACCATATTTCTGTACTGACAAAATTTAAGGAAAAGTCTTCCTCAGGTTAATAGAAAGATGAACCTAAGAGGGCTTAAATCAGGTATACAATGTTTAGGAAGACTTCAAATGGAGAAATATGCACACTTCTAATAGGTACTAGTTAAAACATACAAAAAAAGTAAAATGAAGACTTCTGTATATCTCATAAAGGTTCAGACGAAAACACACGGCTTGTAGTATCTGTTGAAAGATGCATCTAATTTAAACTAATATTTCTGTAATAAATTTGCATTCGATTTTAAGATGGTGTTTTCACATTTATAAGAGAAAAAAATCAACTCTAGTACGCTGCAATATATAAAATCAATTAAGGAGAATGCTAGCTTTTTTGAAGGACTGAGATCCTATAAAGTGAGATTAAGGCCACTGACATGCAAATAAAAGCAAGTACAAAATCTGGAATTATTTGATTAAATTTTCCCAGGCATTTTTCCTTCAGTTTAATACACTACATGACAGCAAGCACGCACCTACCGAAGGGGACATGTAAAAACTAAAACAAACAAACAAACAAACAAACCAAAACAAAAAGACCCCTTAAACCAAAATGCATCCCTCCACACTTTCTGAAAAGATGATATAAAAATCTGAAACTGGTTTACCTGGCAGACTAATTAAAACCACTAAAGAGTATTACCTTTCTGTATTCTGACACAAGTATCCTCAATTGTAATTCAATCTCATTGCTTGCTACTGCAGCATCTATTGTGGAAGCACAGAGAGGAGGGAAAGGAGGAAGTGAAGTCGTGGCCCCTGGAGAACAAACAGATTTGATTGCTTCTTCACTCATTGGTTTCCATTTAGATTCATCACGCAAATCAAATGCACAGACTTCCACTGCATCAGAAGGCTGGCAGTTTGCCAAGAATGCTTGATTGTTGAAGATACAGCCTATTGTTCGATAAGGATACGTTGGCTTGGGCTGTTCAACAAGTGGAGGGTCATCTGGATGGATAGGACTGTGAATGTACCTATCAATTAAGAGAGACATTTACTATAACAACAACAACAAATTTCATATTTTACATTTTAAATGATGCAAATATTTAGGTGGCACAGACATGCTAAGATTCTGCCCCTATGAAAAATCCTTGCACCATACATGAATTTCCTTTTCATAACTGAAATTTCTTATAAAAAAATTTCCACATTTTGTGCAATACAAGCAAAACTGGTTTTTCTCCCCCTTTTAATCTAGATATTTATTTTCCAGGTTAAAATGTCAAGCATGGTCACTCAAGCAACAACACAACTGAAAGCAATTAAAATAACCTTTTTAACTGCATCAACAAATAACGAACACACAGTTTCTTCCCTTCATCTATCAGATTTTCAGAGGAATAGTGCTTCACATGACAAATAATATAATATGCACAATAGGAAATGGTCACTTAAATAAAAAAAAAATAGCAATCAACCCCTTTCACAAAATCAAACATATTTTAATTCTTCAACCCATATCCACTTACCATCATTCATACTACCCTTCATTACAAAGTCACTATAACTTTACATAACACTTCTTAAAAAATAAACAGGTAATAAATACACTTCTATGTTTTAGTCATCACATTTTACAAATACATCAGTATGGGTCACATTGTTCAGGCAAAGGTACACTGGTACAGGAAACCCTTGCTATTTGCGGGTTCGGCATTCGCAGTTTCAAATATTCGTGAATGCAAAACCTGCATTTTAAATACACTTTATACACTTACAGGAGCTCCTTGGGAGCTCTGTGCTTGTTACCGCCAGGCTCCCGCTGCCGGAGCTGTGCCCGCCCCCCCCGGCACTGCGTTCATGAATGCAGTGCCTTATTCGCAGATTTCGCCATCCGCAGGGAATACACAACATATCCCTCGCAAATGGCGCGGGTTGCCTGTATATTATTATACAGTAAGCATAAACCAAAGTTAGCTGTTTACAGTTTTCTTCTGAGGCAATTTACATAGTCTTAGATTAATAGACAAATCAAAATCATTAGGCAGTCCATGATTCAAGAGATGTGCGTCTTATTTTTCTAACAGAGGTACACTGGAATAGCTTAGAAGCTACTACTATTGATATCAAGAGGAGGCTGGACAGATATTTGGCTGGGGTGAGATGATCCTGGCACCCATTCCTGCCTGGGGTAGGGGGTCGGACCTGATGATCTGCTTAGGTCCCTTGCAACCCTAAGTACTATGATATCTAATTAGGAAAATCCGCAATATTGTAAATCCTATTTCGAAAAAAATCATATCCATGACACTTTGGACTGAATATATAAATTAGGGCTTAGTCTGTCAGTCTGTCTATCTGTGTGTAATGTTTTTGGGTGATGTGACTCCCGGCAGGGTGTTGCTCCAGCCAGTATTGCATCAGGGGGGGGGGGGGGGGGAAGGGATGGAGTGCCACCACCCACCACCTCCCAGGAGTAGGGGGAAGCTTGCATGCGGCAGCTCCCCCCCCCCACTCGGCGCTGCTGCTGCTGCTCCGCATCTGAGTGCGTGCAAGCTTCCCCCACCACCCTGCTCCTGGGAAGCGGTGGTGGTGCAGAGCAGGGGTGGGGCGGAGGGTGGTAGCTGCCGCGTGCAAGCTTCCCCCCTGCTCCTGGGAGGCGGCGGCACCATGGGGTGGTGGGTGGCGGCACTCCATCCCCCCCCCGGTCATTCTTGACAGGCAATTTGCACGCGCGCGCGCGTCATAGAATCATAGAAGTAGGGTTGGAAGGGACCTTGTAGATCTTCAAGTCCGACCCCCTGCCTGGGCAGGAGGGAAACTGGGCTCAAATGACCCC